CTGCGCAGGTTCAAAAATCTGGTGGAAAAACTGGCAACAGAATTAAGGGAGACCTACAACAGGTGAGTCCTTTTAGTCTGTCTCACCTGTCTGTCCTCCTGTCTCACCTGTCTGTCCTCCTGTCTCACCTGTCCGTCTCACCTGTCTGTCTCATCTGTCTGTCCTCCTGTCTCACCTGTCTGTCCTCCTGTCTCACCTGTCTGTCCTTCTGTCTGTCCTCCTGTCTCACCTGTCTGTCCTCCTGTCTCATCTGTCTGTCCTCCTGTCTCACCTGTCTGTCCTCCTGTCTCACCTGTCTGTCTCACCTGTCTGTCCTCCTGTCTCACCTGTCCGTCCTCCTGTCTCACCTGTCTGTCCTCCTGTCTCACCTGTCTGTCTCACCTGTCCGTCTTTTCCAGGTTCTTTTACTTCGGCTTCATGGAGGACAGTGATTACATCAGAGGACTTGTTATGGAGTAAGTTTTTCTTTAACTCGATGTTTCGTCCTTTTTTCATTTGTCTCAGGTCTCAAGTTACGAGTTTCCATTTCTAGTCATCTCTAATGAATTAATGAACTAAAGTAACTGACTAGACTCTAAAGGACTAGACTCTAAAGGACTAGACTCTATAGGACTAGACTCTAAAGGACTAGACTTTATAGGACTAGACCCTAAAGGACTAGACTTTATAGGACTAGACCCTAAAGGACTAGACTCTAAAGGACTAGACTTTATAGGACTAGAATTTATAGGACTAGACTCTAAAGGACTAGACTTTATAGGACTAGACTTTATAGGACTAGACTCTAAAGGACTAGACTCTAAAGGACTAGACTTTATAGGACTAGACTCTAAAGGACTAGACTTTATAGGACTAGACTCTAAAGGACTAGACTTTATAGGACTAGACTCTAAAGGACAAGACTTTATAGGACTAGACCCTAAAGGACTAGACTTTATAGGACTAGACTCTAAAGGACTAGACTCTAAAGGACTAGACTTTATAGGACTAGACTCTAAAGGACTAGACTTTATAGGACTAGACTCTAAAGGACAAGACTTTATAGGACTAGACCCTAAAGGACTAGACTCTATAGGACTAGACTCTAAAGGACTAGACTTTATAGGTCTAGACCCTAAAGGACTAGACTCTAAAGGACTAGACTCTAAAGGACTAGACTCTAAAGAACTAGACCCTAAAGGACTAGACTCTAAAGGACTAGACTCTATAGGACTAGACTCTAAAGGACTAGACTTTATAGGACTAGACTTTATAGGTCTAGACCCTAAAGGACTAGACTCTAAAGGACTAGACTCTATAGGACTAGACTCTAAAGGACTAGACTTTATAGGACTAGACTTCATAGGCCTAGACCTTAAAGAAGGTTCTGGTCCTGAAATTCTGGGCAGTTGAAAGTTGAGATGATTGAGAGGTTTAAACTCTTCAGTCAGGACTTGATCTCAGTGACTCGTCATTAAAAGACCTGAAAATTACACGACTTGACAAATCTTGATTTGGAAAAAAACGGTTGACATTTTGATTTGAAATGATGACTCGACATAAACCGACTCATGGAGGATAAGATGACTCGACATAAACCGACTCGCGGAGGATAAGAGGACTTGAAACCGGATACTTTTTTGGAGGTTAATTGACTCGATGGCGTCTCATGTTGATGACCTAATTGTTTCTGGTCATCAGTGATGTCATCATTCCCTCCTTCATCGTGGTCAATCTGTCCAATGATGGTTACTTTCTGCCGCTGGTCGCCGTGGAGACGGAGCACCATCTGCAGGAGTTCCTGGATGGAGTTTTGACCGGCAGTATCCAGGTGAGTCGTGACTCGTCAGGTGGTGGTTTTGATTGGCTAGTCTGAGATCTGAGGGTGTGTCTTGTTTCTTCCAGGCTCAGGGAGGAAATGGCGCCATTCAGCGAGTCCGACGTTTTATTTATGACACCAAAACAACGCTGCAGGTACGCTCTGTCTTTAACTTGACTTCCTGTTTCCTAAATCAGTGACCTCTGACCTTCCTCTCTCCTTCTCCAGCCCGTGTTCAGTCAGGCTCCACTGCTCTTCTGCTTCCTGGTCAGCCTCCCGCTCTGCCTCGTCACGCTCTTCTGCTACCTGTGCCTGAAGAAACGACCTTCTGCTTATGACGACGAAGACGATGATAATGGAGACGGTGTTCTGTTAGCTCCATCAGTAGGGCGACGCAAAAAACTGACCGAGAAGAAGATTGACTGAGGGAGGAGGAGGAGGAGGAGGAGGAGGAGGAGGAGACGACTCAGGACCGCCGGATGACACGAGTTCACGCCACGAGCTCGAGTTGATATCAGTGATACGCTTACAGAGATGAAAATAAAAGTGTTCAGAGCGCCGACTCACTGACCAAGATCAACATGTTACCGACTCTTTATCTGTCCGTCTAACCCCACTGTAACATGGAGACAACCAGCAGGGGGCGTACAGGCTCCTCAGACAGCACTGTCACTACCTGATCCATGTGTGAACCGTACGTCACTTCCTCTCTTGTGAGTCTCTACCTACCCGATCTCTAACGTGCTAGCGCAAATTTACTTCACGTTAAAAACTTTATTTAAACTACCGATCGATTCAGAAACAAGCTGGCGATGTGACAGGCTAGCTAACAGGAAGCTCCAGAGCTGAAGCCGAGGTATTTGTCAGAGGTCCTGCCCAGAACGGTGAGACCTTCTGGGCCACAGAGAGCGCCACCACCTGGTCAAAATAAGGGTTCTGACTTTTCAAAGTATCAAGGCGGGATTTATTTTATTTATTATATAAATTAAATTAATTTACAAGAAGCCGACACATCATGGACGATGAATTTCAGTGTTTTTATACAGAGTTTCAGTTTCAACACTGAAATATTCACATTCATTCAAAACTTTTAGAACTACGTTACAATTTAAATATTCAGCTGGAGGAGGGACCTTTAAACGTGAAACTGGGCGCCATTCTCTGTCGGCGCTCTGCTTCAGTCGGGGGGAAGAACTCCGTTCAGGAGAAAAGTGTGGCTGTTAGAAACTGAAGCATCCATTCTGACTGTCGTGAGCTCGCTGATGCTGAAGTTGTCACAAACCGCCAGGGGTGAAGAATTGCTGAGCTGTCACAAAGATGGCGAGTAGAGGAAGTGATGTACATTTTGTCCATTCGCAGTACCAATCAGGTTTCCAGGACTGATCAGGTAGCGACAGCCACCCTGAATGATAAAATCGAACTAAAGCTCCTTTCACACCGGGAGCGGTTTGTCGTGCGATTATTTCGGACGTCAGTGTTTTTTTTGAACCCGTATCCTGTCAATACAAGCGTTCAGATCAGCGACGTTTCCCCGTCCTGCGATATTACAGCATTTATTTTTTCAGATCATGATAGTTTTTCTAAAGTTTCGCATACTGTGTGTCCACTTCTGACCAATCAGATTGCGTGTTGTTGTGTCTTTGTTTGAACTTTCATCTGTGCTAACGTAACTTTAGCTCTAAGCTAACCTGTTCAGATACAACAGACCATCTGTATTTTCACTGTAAACTCAGTCACAGCTCCATCAGGTCTCTGTTGTTCCCTTACGTTTATGGATTATAGTTTAATGTGTTTATCTGGTTCTGACCCGACTCAGTTCATGCTATCATGACAGACAGACATCTCAACACTAGAGTCTGATCAGAACTGAGAAACACTCAGTCTGCTGTCGCAAAATCGCATCAGGCTTGATGTGTTCAGTCAGGCGCGTCAAAATTCGCCTTCAAATATTTCGTAATTTCACGTCGTATATTTGCGTCGGTCCAGATGTGTAAAGACCTCAAAACACAATCTCAAAAACTGCAGTTCTTCCTCTGTCCACTAGGGGCTGTGTCCTGCAGGAGTCCTGCTGAGAAACCCTCAAAACAAGGAGATGAAAACATCAGCTGTTAGCGCTGAGCTAAAGGAGCAGACAGAAGAAGTCCAAACTTAGAGACCCTCTATGAAGGTGGTCTACTATAAATGTGCAGAATTTGAATAAACGGGTCCGGGTCTCCTGGTCTTCACACCGTCTTTTTAGGTTACATATCCATGTGTACCATATGAACCCTTTCAAACAAACTTCAGTGTAACTCTGAACAGAAACAAACATACTGAACTAAACCCTCAGGTCCACGGGATTCTAAACTCTACCAGTCCTCATCTGTCAAATCAAGCACAAGTGTTTATTAATGAGAACTTTTAACATTTTTGTCCCTTTTGTTCCTTCAAATCTTTGATCAACTTCAGCTCTGACCACTAATAAAATCATTAAATTAACTGTAACAGCCTCCAGGGTAAAGTTCGAGCAGCTCTGGACTCTGAATTCTTGGGTCAGAGGAAAGATCGGAGGAAAGATCGGAGGAAAGATCGGAGGTTTAAGAAAAACGAAATAATTCAGATTTTCTCAAAGACTGGTGGAAAAATGTAGAGGTGGAGGTTTGACAGTACACACTCTCGTACGTAGGGTGGCGGTATACACCAAAAGTATACTCATTTTCACAGTAAAAGTCGGGGCACTGTGATATGGGGCTTTTATTTTGGAGGTCAGACCGGATGTTGGGGTGTAGCAGGATGCTAGGAGCTAACAGCTAACTGAGGTAAACTCGTCGGTCGGTGCTCAGCGGGTTCTCAGACTCGGATTCGGACCCGGATCAGGACCTGGTTCCTACTCGAGCTTCTTTAAAAACGGTTCTGGGAGCTGGTCGTGCGCGCGCGTACCGTCTCCATGGCTACGGAGGAGTTGTACGAGGTGAGTCGACTTCATGCTAACATGCTAATGTGGCTAACAGTAAAGTTGAGAGTGAAGTTTATAAAACTAGTTCATATCAGCTGACAGGTTAATTAACAGCGAGTTAATTAACCGACTTATTAGAAAGAGGGAGAGAGAGGGAGAGAGAGAAAGAGAGAGAGAGAGAGAGAGAGAGAGAGAGTTAACGGCACAGTCAGAAGTCCAGTTAGCTCCGAGTTAGCTCCGAGTTAGCTGCTGTTTGTACCTGATTAATCCTCTTTAGTTTCAGTGAGTCACTGTGGATCCTGGTTACTTTAATCTGCTGCTTTAGTTTGTGGATTACCTTCAAAATAAAACATGATAAACTTCAGACGGTTTAAAACAGTCTGTTTGTTCATTTAATGACTTTATATTAAAGTTAGAGACAAAAAACCAAGAACATGGTCAGTGTTTCTGCTCATATGTTGTTATTTAGGATGGAAACATGTTAATTTAGTAAAAATGACTGAGGACATTTAAAACCACTGAGGCTCAGTCAATTATCGATTGGTGCTGTCTTAAACTAACCCACACCTGTGTTTGTCTGCACACGCACAACATTCATCTTTATCATTCAAACTAACAACCATTCTCACAGGTGTGAGGTTCACCTGTCCACTATCAGAGCTCATTTCAGGCCTGACCACCCGGACACAGACCAGTGTTCCCAGATCAAACTGACAGTTTCAGCCCAGTCCAATAAAAACCACCAAGTTTACAGATAAACCCGTCAAATCACGACACGTGCAACAGAAAAACGCTCCAGAGCTTCATATAACATCAAATAACCACAATAAAGATAGAAAGGTTTAACTGCCGAAAATCAACCACAGAGTACGCTAATTAGAAGACGAACCTCTGACATCAGAGCGCCAGATTAGTGATAATGACCTGCTGCACTTTAACATGGAGGCCTAATAAACGTCATTATTTACAACACAAATGACCCGTATGAGGACACCATGAGGAAACCAGCGGGTGTGAACTAAAAAAAACCTGTGTGAGTGGGCGTGTTTAATTATGAGTGGGCGTGTTTAATTGGTTTAATCAGTTTGAATCGGGTTAATTGATCCGATCAGCCGCTGCGTGTTTTTAAACCCTGATAAATGATCGAACGCTCTCACTCCGTCTTTTCGGTCCTGCAGGTGGAGAAGATCGTGGATAAGAGGAGGAACAAGAAGGGGAGGGTGGAGTACCTGGTCAGGTGGAGAGGGTACGGGTCAGAGGGCGACACCTGGGAGCCTGAGAGTCACCTGTCCACCTGCATGATCTACGTCCACAACTTCAACCGCCAGCACGCCGAGCGCCAGAGAGACACCACCCTAATGCGCTCCACCCGCAGCTCACCCAGCCTACACTGCAGCCCCGCCCACAGACTACCCTACACGCCGCCGGCCGCTCACAGTGACGTGGGCAGTGACAGTCGGGGGTTAACGGGAGGCCTGAGTCCTGCTCTGAGTCCTGCTCTCCCACCCTCACTCGGCCTTCCAAGCTCCGCCCCCACCAGCTCCCAGCAGCCCCTGCAGGCCAGCAGACTGGGCAGCGGTCTGATGTCCTTGGTTGTCTCCGCTCGCCGCGGCCTCGACCTGTCCAAGACCGGGATCAAGATTCTGGTCCCTAAGAGCCCGATGAACAGCAGACCCGACTCTGAGGAATCTCCGAGCGAGGCGGCGCACAGCCTGGAGGCCGGCGCTCAGGAGGCGCACCTGGTCCCACCTGAGGTGGCGCTGTTGGAGAAACCTGCGGGGGTTCAGCTGGGTCCTGGGGAGGAGAGGGCCCGCATGGGGACCAGACCCCGGAGCCTGAACCCCCTGCCCCCCCCGCGGGTCCCAATCACACCTGCAGCCATGCGCTCCTTTGGAGGCACAGGTGAGGTTAAAGGTCATACTGTCCAATCACAGAGTCACTGATACTTCCTGTTTTTAAAGTTCAAGTCAAGGTGCATGGACATCAATGAACCAATCAGCTGTTTGATCACTTAATCAGTCAACCAATCAGCTCCTCCCTCCATTTTAACCATGAAAACAGACTCAGGTGTCAGAACACCTGTCCTACCTGTTCAGCTGCTCCTCTCTGATTGGCCCTCTCAGTGTCTCCCTGATGATGTCACATGTTTTCATGCTGGCGAATGTCTCTAACGGTTTAGCTGAATCCGCAGCAGATCCACTTCCTGTTTCACCCCGACCGGCCCGCCCCGCAGGTCGACCCCACAGGTGACCTCTGCTCTGTCTCCAGGTAACTCCCGACTGATGGAGGCCGTCGCTGCCAATGGGATGTCAGGTGTGCAGAGCTCTGTTACCGGGGTGACCAGTGTGGCCGGGAAACGCCGTCTGGAGGAGCGCTCAGCTTTCGACAAACGTCTGAGGTTCAGTGTTCGCCAGACGGAGAGCGCGTACAGGTACCGCGACATCGTGGTCAAGAAACAAGACGGCTACACCCACATCCTGCTGTCGACCAAGAGCTCCGAGAACAACACGCTCAACCCTGAGGTAAGGAACGCCGCTCTATAGTGATACTACAGTGGTCACGCGCTCTGTGTTCTGCTTTAGGCCACGCCCCTCTGAACCTGCTAACCTTCACTGACAGCCATCTTTCTTGCTTGTAATCCTGCCAGGTGATGAAGGAGATCCAGAGCGCCATGGCAACGGCGGCATCAGATGACAGTAAGCTGGTGGTACTGGGTGCTGTAGGAAGTGTCTTCTGCTGCGGCCTTGACTTCCTGTATTTCATCAGACGGCTGACAGACGACAGGAAGAAGGAGAGCATCAAGATGGCTGAAACCATCAGGTACCTGACCCGGGACACCTGGGTCTGATACTGTTCACTGTTAATGCTGTTCTCACCGACCTCTGACCTCTCCACAGAACCTTTGTCAACACCTTCATCCAGTTCAGGAAACCGATTGTGGCGGCGGTAAACGGGCCTGCGCTTGGCCTCGGCGCTGCCATCCTGCCGCTGTGTGACGTGGTGTGGGCCAATGAGAAGGCCTGGTTCCAGACCCCGTACACGTCCTATGGTCAAACACCTGACGCCTGCTCGTCTTTTACCTTTCCTCGCATCATGGGCCCAGCCTCGGTCAGTCAGCTGATTAGCCTGACACTCAACATTATCCCTGATCTGACATCACAGCATCATCCCAGTACCTCTGCACAGCCTCCTCCAATCACTGACCTCCAATCATTGTGACCGTTAGAGGAGGAGTGTCCTCACTCTTCAGAACGACAACATCCTTCCAATTGACAGATCATTACCCCAACACAACATTAGCTTTAGCAAGGATTTACACACCACTGTACTGAGGATGATGATGATGATGAGGATGGTGGTGATGATGGTGATGATGAAGATGATGATGATGAGGATGGTGGTGATGAAGATGATGATGATGAGGATGGTGATGATGGTGATGATGATGATGATGAGGATGGTGGTGATGATGATGATGGTGATGATGATGATGGTGATGATGATGGTGATGATGATGATGGTGATGGTGATGATGATGATGATGGTGATGGTGATGGTGATGATGATGATGATGGTGATGAAGATGGTGATGATGATGGTGATGATGATGAAGATGTGATGATGAGGATGATGATGATGGTGATGATGGTGATGATGATGAAGATGGTGATGATGAGGATGATGATGATGATGATGATGATGATGAAGATGGTGATGATGAGGATGATGATGATGATGATGATGATGATAAAAATGATGATTGTGATGATGATGAGGATGATGATGATGGTGATGATGATGAAGATGGTGATGATGAGGATGATGAGGATGATGATGATGATGATGATGATAAAAATGATGATGGTGATGATGATGATGAGGATGATGATGATGGTGATGATGATGAAGATGGTGATGATGAGGATGATGAGGATGATGATGATGATGATAAAAATAATGATGTGATGATGATGATGAGGATGATGATGATGGTGATGATGATGATGATGATGATGATGAAGATGGTGATGATGAGGATGATGGTGATGATGGTGATCATGATGGTGATGATGATGAAGATGGTGATGAGGATGATGATGATGATGATGATGATGATGGTGATGAAGATGATGATGATGGTGATGATGATGATGATGGTGAGGATGATGATGAGGATGATGATGATGGTGATGAAGATGAAGATGATGATGATGATGGTGAGGATGATGATGAGGATGATGATGATGGTGATGGTGATGATGGTGATGGTGATGATGGTGATGATGATGAAGATGGTGATGATGATGAAGATGGTGATGATGGTGATGAAGATGAAGATGATGATGATGATGAGGATGGTGGTGATGAAGATAATGATGATGATGATGGTGATGATGATGGTGGTGATAATGGTGATGAAGATGATGATGGTGATGATGATGAAGATGGTGATGATGATGATGATGATGGTGATGGTGATGGTGATGATGATGATGGTGATGAAGATGAAGATGGTGATGATGATGAAGATGGTGATGATGATGATGAAGATGGTGATGATGATGAAGATGGTGATGATGGTGATGATGGTGATGATGATGATGAAGATGGTGATAAGGATGAAGATGGTAATGATGATGGTGATGATGATGAAGATGGTGATGATGAAGATGATGATGATGATGGTGGTGCTGAAGATGAGGATGTGGTCCCCTGAGAAGGTGTTGCTCTCTCCTTAAGTCCTACAGTTCGTCGCCTCACCACAGCATCATCCTCATGACCTTCATACAGCACTGTCAGAACTCTTTCTGAACTTCATCATCGTCATCCTCACAGATTCATCAGTTCTTTCTTTGTCATCTTCCTCCTCATGAACCTTCTCAACAGCATGGCTGACCACATGACCCTCTCAGCACCATGACCCTGACAGCTCTGGCATCACTTCGTCAGCCTCATGACATTTACAGCATTATCCTCTTAGTCACCTGAATTTTCGACTGATCATGTCTGTTCTCACTAACGGTGTGTTTCTGATGCTAACAGGCTAACGAGCTGCTGCTGAGCGGCAGGAAGTTGACGGCTCAAGAGGCGTGCTCTAAAGGTTTGGTGTCTCAGGTTCTCTGGCCAGGAACCTTCACACAGGAAGTGATGCTGAGAATCAAAGAGCTGGTGACTGTGGACCTCCTGGTGAGTTGATCTCACACAGACACACACACACACATACACATACACATACACACAGACACACACACACACACACAGTGCTCAGACCTCAGTCCAGCAGTAGAAACTCTCTGACCCCCGATCTCCACCTTCATCCTGATCGTCTCCTAAAAGGTCGTATCCTCCGATCGTAGCTGATCGTAACCATTCAAGTTAACGTGTCAATTTACACCGACTTCTTTCCGTTCCTCTGCGGATCGCCGGACTCCTCAGCTGATCACAAGAGTTCTAGTTTTTCTGGACGCCGGAGCATGGCGGATAAATTCAGCACAGATTAACCCGTGCTGGAAAGGAAGTCGGGCACAGACACAAAATAAAACATCCGGCTTCTTTTCAAAATAAAACATCCGGCTTCTTTTCAAAATAAAACACTCCGTGTTTCAGGAGGATCGTATTTCACACCATGCAAACGGGCGGAGACGAACAAGTTAAAGGTTTTTAGACGTCATTTCACCCCGATGACACCATGGATGAGGAGATGCTGATTCTAGAAGTCTAGAAGTAGATTTCCTCCTCTGGAAGGACACAATCTACTGCTTATATGTCTATGTGTCTGTCTTTAGAGAGACAACTCGTTATCGTCTGATTGAACGTGAATCTGCAGGTTCTTCTGAGCTCTCGTGATTACCGCTGTCCGTAACCCGCCACGAAATTCGCCTCACAAACTTATCTGGTAGGAAATGGCGGACGGCGAACATCACTGCCCACGGTTCCAGTTTGGAGAGGTTCTGGATGTGGTGAAAACTGGGGGTGAGGTCCAGCAGTCTGGTTCTGTCCTCTGACCTGTTTGGTTCTCCTGGTTCTGCAGGTTCTCCGTGAGTCCAAAGCCCTGATGAGGAACACGAGTCGCGGCGCTCTGGAGCAGACCAACGAGCGAGAGTGTGAGGCTCTGAAGAGGGTCTGGGGTTCTTCTCAGGGGACCGACTCCATCCTGCAGTACCTGCAGAGGAGGACCGAGCTCTGCTAGGACCTGGACCGGGACCAGAAACGGTTCCCTGGACTGATGGGAGCTCTGCCCATGTGTTTGTGTGGTGGTCCTGTTTGGGTCCTGGTCTTAGAGGAAACCCCAGGTCTGGATCCTGATCCTGTGGGGTTCTTCAGGGATCATCTCTGGACCCCCTCCAGTTTAGATCCTGGACTCAGCAGGAACCACATGGGGGGGGGTTGTTTTTGTAGGTTTTTGATGAAGCGGGTTCATGGTTCTGGAGATCCAGACTCAGTTCTGTACTTTGTACCCTGGACCTGATCATGTGACTCTGGCGGGGGGGGGGGGGGGGGGTATTTAAGGTTGGACTGATAAACAGGAAGTGACCTCACAGCGCCCCCTTCAGGACTAACAGAGACCTTTGACCCCTGCTGTCTGTGGGAGGGGGCGCTAACAGGGACCATTCAGCACTTTGACTGAGAGGAATTCTGGGTAATCACTGATTGATGACAGACTGAGGTCATGTGACCCATGTGGTCATGTGACCCGGAATCAGGTGAGCCGACTGAGCCGAGACTCAGAGACCAGATCCGAAAGAACTGAACCAGGACCTGGACCACATGACTCAGAACATAGAATCAAATAAACGGATTTAAACTGAAACATGTCTGTGTGTGAGTCTGTGTGTGTGTGTGTGTGTATGTGTGTGTGTGAGTCTGTGTCTGTGTGTGTCTGTGTGAGTGTGTGTATGTGTGTGAGTCTGTGTGAGTGTGTCTGTGTGAGTCTGTGTGTGTGTGTGTGTGTCTGTGTGTGTGTGTGTCTGTGTGTGTGTATGTGTGTGTGTCTGTGTGTGTCTGTGTGTGTCTGTGTGTGTGTGTTAGTGTGGGTGTGTCTGTGTGTGTCTCTGTGTGTGAGTGTGTGTGTGTGTGTGTCTGTGTGTGTCTGTGTATGTCTGTGTGAGTGTGTGTGAGTGTGTCTGTGTGTGTGTGTGTGAGTCTGTGTGTGTGTGTGTGTCTGTGTGTGTCTGTGTGTGTGTGTGTGTGTGTGTGTGTGTGTGTGTGAGTGTGTGTGTGTGTGTGTGTCTGTGTATGTGTGTGTGTGTGTGTGTGTGTGAGTGTGTGTGTGTGTGTGTGTCTGAGTGTGTCTGTGTGTGTCTGTGTATGTGTCTGTGTATGTGTGTGTGTGTGTGTGTGAGTGTGTGTGTGTGTGTCTGTGTGTGTGTGTGTGAGTGTGTGTGTGTGTGTCTGTGTGTGTGTCTGTGTGTGTCTGTGTGTGTCTGTGTGTGAGTGTGTGAGTGTCTGTGTCTGTGTGTGTATGTGTGTGAATGTTAGTGTGGGTGTGTGTCTGTGTGTGAGTGTGTCTGTGTGTGAGTGTGTGTGTGTGTGTGTTAGTGTGGGTGTGTCTGTGTGTGTGTGTGTGTCTGTGTGTGTGTGTGTGTGTGTGTGTGTGTGTGTGTGTGTGTGTGTGTGTGTCTGTGTGTGTTCAGCTCTGACTGTTTAAAAAAAACTGTCAATCAAACTGAAACTTTATTTTCTTAATATTTTCACTTCCTGTTAAAAAAAAATCCTCAATACAAACAAAGTCAGACTCACTGAACACTCATGTGTTCATCAGAGTTTTAAAGTTGAGGCTCCTGGACCTAAACAGGGTCACAGCAGGAGCCTCACAGGTCCATACACAAATTACCTGAACCTGAACCACAGACCAGGTCCACACCTCTACAGGTGACCCCTGAGAGAGGCCAGGGTCAAAGTGGACAGGTGTGGTCATGGTGGACAGGTGTGGTCATGGTGGACAGGTGTCGTGCGCCCCTGTAGCCTGATGCAGGTAGTAGACGTCATCGTGGAACATCAGCAGACTGTAGAAGTTCTCCCCGCCCCTCAGGACGCCATGTTCGTTGGCGCCCCATGAAACCGGACTATCAACAAACCCGTGAACCGTCAGACACGCCCAAGACTCCAGGTGTGACTCCTCCAGGTAAACCCTGAGGACAGGTGAGGACAGTTCAAACACTCATCACGCTACCTTCATGGACTCCGCCCACCACATGATGTCACACCTTCACAACTTGAGCTAACTCTTAACAGCTAACCGAAGGCTAACATGCTATCACACGCTGCTAAGCATTAGCTTAGCACTAAGCTGGGAACAGTTAATCAGACACTTCAGTTGGTGGTCGAGGTCAAAGGTCAGCTGACCTGATCTGCTGGAGGAGGCGGTGGATGTCTTGGGGGAGCAGCAGACCGCAGACGGACACGCTCAGAGCGCGGCTGAGCGCCGTCTTCGGCTCAGGACAGACGAGCGAGGACAGGAAGCTGCTGGACGTGTTCCCGCTGAAACCACAGAAGAAGAAACGTCACGTAAGAACGCTGACAGCAGAGACACGTCGTCATGGCGACCGTCCTCTCACCAGCTGATGTGGGCGTGTGCGGCTCCAAGCCACTCCAGGAAGCTGTGAGGGTCACATGACAGCAGGTCAGAGGTCAGCAGGGCAGGACAGGACAGGTGAGTCAAGGTGTGACGGCTGACCTCAGGTCTGTGTTCTGACCAATCATGACGAGACAGGAGGGTCTGCAGAGAGGCTCCGCCCCCTACGGGCAGGCAGCAGTGTTAACGTTAGCTTAGCGTCATCATTAGCTACACCTGGGTGATGATGTCACTCACCTGGATGATGTGACAACAGGAAGTCCATCTTCAGCCGCAGTCTGGACTTCAGACCTGCGAGGAGCCTCAGGTAGCCCCGCCCACCTGGAGCCATGCAGCTGTCCGTCAAATCCACAGAGACGACTGAAAGGAGACGAAGACGCCGAGTTACTTCGAAAAGTACACACAGGTGAGTACAGGTACTCAACAGGTGGACAAAGGTCACACATGGTGAAGATGAATTCATTAAGAAGGTGTTTTGGTGTCAAGGTCATGATGTCACTGTGATGTCACGGCGCTGTGATTCGTACCGAATCGTTTTTTTACTCGGTGGTTGAATCTGGACGGTTTCCCCTCGACCCCCAACACCTCGAAGGAGTCTTTGTCCAGAGAGAGAGTCAGGTGACCTGCAGACAGACAGGTGAGACTCAGGTGAGACCCGGGTCCTCAGGTGAGACTCGGGTCCTCAGGTGAGACCCGGGTCCTCAGGTGAGTGTTCAAAGTTCTGGACGGGTCAGACGAGTCTTCACTCTCACCTTCACCTGAGTCCAAAATACCTGAGCCTCTGATGACATCATCAGTATTTACCTTTAGGAGTCAGAGACACACAGTTGTCCTCATCGATCCTGGTCCTGTAGGAAACACCATACACACTCCCTACACACACACACACACACACACACACACACACACTGTTGTTTAGTCGATCCTTTTGTCCAGACGGACCTTCAGTAAAGTCGAGGTGTGAACAGGTGTTGACATGTTTCCTCAGGTGTGCTCAGGTCTTACCTGGGTACACTGCGGTCGAAGGAGTCTTTGTCCAGAGAGATGAGTCAGGTGACTCTGACCAGACACACAGGTGAGACTCAGGTTGAGACTCGGGTCCAGGTGAGGGGGGCGGAGCCACACTCAGGAAGCAGCAAAGATACCTGAACAGGTGAAGCAACGTGACATTTGGATGAAGATGATGAAGGAACCTGAGACCTGAGAAGAAGTTCGAGATGATGGTGATGAAGGTGATGAAGGTGTTGTAGATGAAGGTGTTGTAGGTGTAGATGGTGTAGATGTAGGTGTTGTAGGTGGAGGTGTTGTAGGTGTAGATGGTGTAGATGTAGGTGTTGTAGATGAAGGTGTTGTAGATGAAGGTGTTGTAGGTGTAGGTGTTGTAGATGTAGGTGTTGTAGGTGGAGGTGTTGTAGGTAAAGGTGGTGTAGGTATAGATGGTGTAGATGTAGGTGGTGTATGGGCAGGTCTCTGACCAGGTAAAAACTGCTGTAGATGTAGGTGTTGTAGGTGGAGGTGTTGTAGGTGGAGGTGTTGTAGGTGGAGGTGTTGTAGGTATAGATGAAGAAGTTCGAGATGATGGTGATGAAGGTGGTGTAGGTGTAGATGTTGTAGATGTAGGTGTTGTAGGTGTAGATGGTGTAGATGTATGTGTTGTAGGTGGAGGTGTTGTAGATGGAGGTGTTGTAGGTGTAGATGGTGTAGGTGTTGTAGATGAAGGTGTTGTAGGTGGAGGTGTTGTAGGTATTTAAAGGGTTAATCTGATCTCATATAAAGTCTGAAGTTTCACAGTAAAAGGACCTGAAATCTTCGTCGTTCCACTTTGATTAAAACTCGTTTCAGCTTCATTTTTTTCACTTTAACATCTTTTTGTTTGTTTTTTTCATATTTAATATCTACGGAATATTATTATAATGTTTATTTTGACATTTAATTTACATTTTTCATATTTTATTAATTTACCTTTTTGTTAGGACTCCAGACTTTTATTTTGAAATCCCGTGCTCGCCCTGTGTCGCTTCCTCACGACCCGTAAGAGACAAAAGCAGCGCATGCGTCAAGACCGCTGCCATCTTAGGGCGGTATTGGTGAACATGATTTGGGATGTAAACAGACGCTGTTGTCATGGTAACCCACGGAAACCCAGGGACAGACCGCTCCAAGATGGCGGCGGTCTTGACGCATCGTGAGCGAGGTCGTGAGGCTTCCGGTGGCGTTAAACGCGAAGTGAAGCACACAGGCTCCCGGGTTAGCCCCATGCTTACAGGTTTACCTTGTAGTTCAGGTGTAGCTGCTCCACCTGAGAGCTGATCCGGTTCTTTAGGTCTCGGAAACTGGATCTCTCCGAGACCAGCAGAGAGCGGGGGTTCTGATCCAGGTCCGTGGTCATATTTTAATAAACTTTATTAACACAGTCTGCTGTCAACGTTAACACACTGCTAACACTGCTAACACCGCTACCAGCTAACGGCCGGGACCAACTTCCTGTTGCTGATTTTCAACTTAAAAGCCCCCCTTTTAATAAGACGTTAATCTTCGTTATCTCTTTCTGCTTTGCCCTGTTGAAATAATAATAATAATAATAATAATAAAAATAAAAATAATAATAATAATAATAATAATAATAATAATGTTGCTTTTGTAATGAAGTTCATTCTTTATTAAAACATCAAAACATGATTTCGAACAGTTCCTGGTTTTATCCGGTAGAGGGCAGCACCGAACTGCACTTCGCTTGAAGACCCAAACCGGCCTCCGTAGTCACGTGGTAATCCGATCCGGTAGTGAAGAAGCACGCTGCTCCTAAAGAGGGACCGAGAACTGGATTATTCTGACTGATCTAGGTCCTCTGTTTAGTTCTGGTCCCGGTTTGTTGACGGATTCCCTGTCCTGGTTTTGGTCCTGGTCCTGGTTCTGGTCTCTGTCGGTGTCTGACGTCATGTCGGTGGAGGGGATCGTACCTGGACAGTTTGACGACGTGGAGGAGGACAGGTGAGACTGTCGGTGATGATCAGAGGGTTATAATAATGTTATCATCATTAATGATAATGATGAACAGACCCTGAGTCACGTGACTGAAACAGGTTTCAATCAGCTGATCCAGAAAACAAACTCACACACACACACACACACACACACACACACACACACACACACACACACACACACACACACACTGCAGTTCTCCTGTTCACTCAGAGTTTTTCTGTTTTAATGATTTCTTCTCTTTAAAGGGATATTCTGTCGTCAAACTAATTCAGGGTCAAACCCACCGTAACACCGAGTTAGACCCCGCCCCCTCCAGAGATGAATGTTGTCGACCGCTTGCTTCTCTAGTTATACCAACTTTAGTAACGACCGCAGGATAGAAATACAGAGAGCCACGCCCCCAACCAAAACGCCACTCTATAGCCACAAATAATGCTCAGAACAGCACCTAACTTCATCAACAGGACATATAGGGTCCCAGACATAGTACTAGACACCAAACATCTTTTTAACTTTGACTCATTTCTTTAGCAAAGAGACTAAACACAACTCACCTACTCTCTTCCAGCAGACGCTTGTTTGTAGTGAGACCTCAGGACAGTCCATTACAGACTACAGCGGGGTGCCGCAGCTCAAGGAAGAACATTTATGATCATTTCTTCATGGAAATACAATCAGACAATTCGTCCACAGAACAAGAAAAAGAGACATGAGTGGGTAAAAACTCTCAAACACTGGACTGATGATGATGATGAGAAACAAGTTTGAGTCTATGTCTGCAGACAAACTGGTGAACGTCTGAAAGCTCCAGGTGTTACACCCACAATTCAGCATGGAGGTGGTAGTCTCCAGACCTTTCTTCATCTGAGCTTGTGTGGGATGAATTGGATTGATGGGTCAGAAAAACTCGTCCCACGAATCAGCGTCTCTTTTTAATGAACTTAAGAAAGCTTGAATGTAATCCCTGGAACAGACCTTAATAAACTTGGTACCTGGTATATGCTGAGCTGTTGTTAAAGCCAGAGGAGGTAACTTTAAAGAAAGTCTAACAACAAAAACTCAAATACCTCAGAATTAAAGTCAGAATGTCTTCAGATCAGTTACTCTTTACACTGTAGTCATGGTTACTGTGTTTAAAATTATATTTATGAAACTATGATCTTTGTTTGTACTAATCTGATCTGATCTGAACTTTCGTATACCCAGTAGACACGTTTTGCTTGGAGGGGCTCTTTAATCCCTACATCATCAGCTCCAGTCTTAACCTCCGTTTTCCAGGATTCATGTAGTTTTGGACAAAAAGAGGGTGGGGGGTCCAGGATGTCCGGGGAGCCGTCCCCTTTCCTGAGGTAGATAAAAAAGACTCAGTCTGGGTTTTCCTTCGTCTGTAATCTCAATAATCTCGCTGTGATGTTACAGAGAGAATAAATCAGGCCCAACCTGAGCACACTCAAAAACATCTAAACCCACTCTGCACACCTGGTTCTCCTGGTTCTCCTGGTTCTCCTGGTTCTCCTTCGCTGTGAGCTTTAAGATTCCAAGTCTCTCTGATCGCTTCGTCGTAGTTTTTAAGTTTTTGTATCTTTTTAAGTTTCTTTGCCGCTCTTTCTTTTGTTTGTCGTGTTTTTCTCCGTTCGGCTCTTTTCTTCTTCGTCTTCTTCTGCTCACTGATGAACGTCACTCTCTCACTTCTGTAGGGACCAATCAGAGCTGTTGGCTGTGAGAGGTCAGAGACCTCCTTCAGAGCCAGAGGAGGAGGAGGAGCCAGAGGAGGAGGATGAGGAGGATGAAGATGAGGAGGAGTGGATGTGGCGCTCAGCAGGAGGAGATCTGACCAAACCCTTCCTGAAGACCAGCAGCCAGGTAAGACCTCAGAGGAGGAGGAGGAGGTCAGGGGAGGAGGTCAGCAGAGGAGGTCAGGGGGGTTTATTCAGATTTAACGTAGATGTTCCTCCATTTGTTCCTCAGTTTGTTCTTCGGAGAATATAAAAAGTTTCTGACTCAGTTTAAAGACTGTAATCAATAATCAATAATCAATAACAGACATCAGAGATCTCAGCTCTGATACTGAAAGGTAATTTAGTTAAAATAAGATCAATAAAAAAATGAAGACAGTCCTGGAAGCTCACCTGACTCCTCTGCTGTGCTCTCATTGGTCAGGCCAACAGACAGAATCCCTCCAATAAGATGCTGCCGTCAACGCCGAACGACAAAGTCCTGAGGAAGTACGAACACAAGATCAACCTGGGTAACACACACATACACACACACAATAACACACACAATAACACTAACACACACACACACACACACACACAATAACACACACACACACACACAACACAAACACACAAAAACACACACAGACACACACACACACACTAACACACACACACACACACACACACACAATAACACACACACACACACACACACACACACACAATAACACTAACACACACAGAGACCCACACACACACACACACAATAACACACAGACACACACTGTTGATTGATTGATTGTTTAATTGATTGATTTTATTAATTGATTAATTGATTGATTGATTTATTGATTGATTGTTTGTGTTTCTTCCAGATAAGCTGAATTTCGCTGACTCGGTGATCAATAAAGTCACGTCGATGCAGAGGCAGAAAGACGCCGACACGTACGTCTTTACTCCGCCCACTTTAATCCAGGAGGTCATGTGACGTGTTTGTAACGCTCTGATTGGCTGCTTTTCACAGGTACAGAGTAAAGGACAAATCAGATCGAGCCACTGTGGAACAGGTACGGATTCAAATGCTTTTATTCTGAAAGAGCCTGACAGGAAATTAACAAAACAAATTAACAAAACAAGACTTAAAGTGATCAGTAAATCATTTCCTTCCTTCCTTCCTTCCTTCTTTCTTCCTTCTTTCCTTCGTTCCTTCATCCCTTCCTTCCTTCCCTTCTTCCTTCCTTCCTTTTGTTCCGTCATCTCGTCCTTCGTTCCTTCATCCCTTCCGTCCTTCCTTCCTTCCTTCCTTCCTCCCGTCCTTCCTTCCTTCCTTCATCCCTTCCTTTCTTCCTTCATCCCTTCTGTCCTTCCTTCCTTCCTTCGTTTGTTCCTTCTTTCTTCCTTCCTTCCTTCGTTTCTTCATCCCTTCCTCCTTCCTTCCTTCCTTCATCCCTTCCTTCCTTCCTTCACTCCATCCTTCCTTCCTTCATCCCTTCTGTCCTTCCTTCCTTCCTTCATTCGTTTGTTCCTTCCTTCTGTCCTTCCTTCCTTTGTTTCTTCATCCCTTCCTTCCTTCTGTCCTTCCTTCTGTCCTTCCTTCCTTCCTTCCTTCCTTCCTTCCTTCCTTCTTTCGCTCCGTTTTTCCTTCCTTCATCCCTTCTGTCCTTCCTTCCTTCATTCGTTTGTTCCTTCCTTCTGTCCTTCCTTCCTTCGTTTCTTCATCCCTTCCTTCCTTCTGTCCTTCCTTCCTCCCTTCCTTCCTTCCCTCCTTCCTTCCTCTCCTGCAGGTTCTGGATCCTCGGACTCGGATGATCCTGTTTAAGATGTTGAGTCGCGGCGTCATCAGTCAGATTAACGGCTGCATCAGTACGGGAAAGGAGGTCCGATATTTGTCATCCATGTTGTCGAGTGATGTCAATCAGTCGATCAATCAAGTGATGTCATGGTGTGTTAATTATGTGTCGTCGTTGTCATGGTTACAGGCTAACGTCTACCACAGCAGCACGTCGGCGGGTGAAAGTCGGGCCATCAAGATTTATAAAACCTCCATCCTGCTGTTCAAAGATCGGGACAAATACGTGAGCGGAGAGTTCAGGTCGGGAAACGCCGATTTTAACCTACGCTAACTTTAGCATGTTAGCCTGAACAAAGATGGTGGATAAAGGCAGACCGCGCACTCTGACCCGCTCTGACACGGTTCTGGTTCTGGTTCTGCAGGTTCCGTCACGGTTACTGTAAGGGGAACCCCAGGAAGATGGTGAGAACCTGGGCCGAGAAGGAGATGAGGAACCTGATCAGGTCAGAACCTGGACTCTAACTCAGAGGGTCAGAACCTGGAGGAAACAGAACTTTCTGATCAGTAGATCCTGTCCAGTCCCTCTGACTGACAGCTGCATTTTAGAAGAACCTGGTGGAGGTTCTGGTGGAGGTTCTGGTGGAGGTTCTGGTGCAGGTTCTGATGGAGGTTCTTGTGTTCCAGGCTGCAGATGGCCGGGATCCCCAGTCCAGAACCGTTGCTGCTGAGGAGTCACGTTCTGCTCATGAGTTTCATCGGAAAGGAGAACATGTGAGGAGAACCAATCAGAATCATCCTGTTCTCTAACTGACTGTTGATTGGTTTAGTACCAAGTTTATGACCGGTGTGTTCTGCGTCCTGATTGGCCAGGCCCGCCCCTCTCCTGAAGAACGCCACTCTGTCGGAGTCGAAGGCCCGGGAGCTCTACCTGCAGGTTCTGCAGAACATGAGGAAGATGTTCCAGGAGGCTCGGCTCGTCCACGCAGATCTCAGCGAGTTTAACATGCTGTAAGAGGCCACGCCCACTCACAGGACACACCCACCGCTCCATAACCCTTCAAAATAAAAGCCCTCTCTTCCTGTGCAGGTATCATAACGGCGACGCTTACATCATCGACGTGTCTCAGTCCGTGGAACACGACCATCCGCACGCCCTGGAGTTCCTGAGGAAGGACTGCGGCAACGTCAACGGTGAGCAACGCAACTTTTAACACACATGCACGCACACGTGCACACACACACGTGCACACACAGCCTGAATGTTTCCTCTTTTTTCCCAGAGTTCTTTGTGAAACGCGGCGTGGCGGTGATGACGGTCAGAGAACTGTTTGACTTCATCACCGACCCGTCAATCACCTCCAACAACATCGATCAATACCTGGAGAAGGTGAGCTGATCAGCTGATCAATCAGACTTCATTAATAAACAAACACACAGAGTCAGACAGAAACAAGATAAACAAGAAACAAGATAAACAAGAAAAACAAGAAAAACAAGAAACAAGATCAAGAAACAAGATAAACAAGAAAAACAAGAAACAAGATAAACAAGAAACAAGATAAACAAGAAAAACAAGAAAAACAAGAAACAAGATCAAGAAACAAGATAAACAAGATAAACAAGAAACAAGAAAAACAAGAAACAAGAAAAACAAGAAACAAGATAAACAAGAAACAGAAACAAGATACAAAAACAAGAAACAGAAACAAGATAAACAAGATACAGAAACAAGATAAACAAGAAACAGAAACAAGATAAACAAGAAACAGAAACAAGATAAACAAGAAACAGAAACAAGATAAACAAGAAACAAGATACAGAAACAAGATAAACAAGAAACAAGATAAACAAGAAACAAGATAAACAAGATGCAGAAACAAGATAAACAAGATACAAAAACAAGATACAGAAACAAGATAAACAAGAAACAAGATAAACAAGAAACAGAAACAAGATAAACAAGAAACAAGATAAACAAGATACAGAAACAAGATAAACAAGAAACAGAAACAAGAAACAAGATACAGAAACAAGATAAACAAGATACAGAAACAAGATAAACAAGAAACAAGATAAACAAGAAACAGAAACAAGATAAACAAGAAACAAGATAAACAAGAAACAGAAACAAGATAAACAAGAAACAAGATACAGAAACAAGATAAACAAGAAACAAGATACACAAGAAACAGAAACAAGATAAACAAGAAACAAGATAAACAAGAAACAAGGTACAGTAACAAGATAAACAAGATACAGACCACAGTGGTCAGTTTTAGGTCAGTATCAGGATACCAACAGCATTAAGAGCCAACAGGATACGGTCGGTCAAAGGTTGAATGTTGTTGCAGGATTCAGGTCACACTTCCTGTTTATTTGAAACGCTCTGATTGGTCGTCCAGGCGATGACGATAGCGGCTGAGCGGACGTCGGAGGAGAGGTCAGATCAGGACCGAGTTGACGAGGAGGTGAACCTCAAATCAATCAATCAATTAGTCAGTTCTTATTCTTATATTGATTAGAGGTTGACCACGCCCCCTTCATGGTTCCTGTTGTTATGGTTCCTGTTGTTATGGTTACTGTTGTAATAGTTCCTGTTGTAATAGTTCCTGTTGTCATGGTTCCTGTTGTTATGGTTCCTGTTGTCATGGTTCCTGTTGTCATGGTTCCTGTTGTCATGGTTCCTGTTAT